AAAAAAAATGGTATCTCAAGTTTCTGTTAATTAAAGAAATTGGAATTTCTGAGTTTTATGAGCCTGGAGAAATTAATTTAGTTCTAAATAATCTCAAAGATCTTTATGGAAGAATCCACCCATGTGTCATTTTTATGGCTGAGACATAACGACATGCAGAGAGTTTCTTCGTGGTCCCTGGGAGTCCATGTGATCCCAGTAGTCCAAGCCATGGGACTATTGTGGCAAGTAGCCAGAGTAACAAGCAGAATTTCAACTTACTGGTAGCACCCAGGCATCCATCTTTAGCTCACAGGGAAAAGGGTCTTTGGATTCAAAACCATGCACATGGCATCTTACTCTGAAAGACCATTTGAGAGAGCGTAAACCATGACACTGTGTCAAAGGTCCTTCGTCCGGCTGCTGGCCTTTGAAAAGCTCCAAATCTGGAAAAGAGAGGAGCTAAGCCATGGACTGATCTACTGGGACTGTAGCAAGTTTCCTTTTTTTTTTTTTTTTTTTTTTTTCCCCCCCTATCCTTTTTAACGACAAGAAGCCAGAGTTTGCTGTGCAAATGAAGCAGGCTTTGCAAGAATCAGATTCACTTTGGACGACTCTTCACATTCCTAGTCATCATTACATTAGGCAGCACAATTCCATCTCTGGTTGATGGGCAGAAAAAGTGGGCAGCCTGCCAGGTAGACGTTTCCATGGCTCCCAACCCCCAAAGGTGATGCGTTTTTCAGCTAATTCAATGAAGAGTGGGCTGAACTTTGGGTATAAACTAGACAATAGCTGCCTTCGCAGTATCAGCAGAATGGTTTATGGGAATGCACTCCACATTTGGCAGAGCATCATGTGACCTTACGGCTGAGATTTTGTGATGGTGCCAACGGAGACTTGGAAAGCAGCGCCCGTTCTGACTTTTTTCCTCTTTTCTTACATGGCTCAGAAAATGGTGGATCTTAATACTTGACTTTAGCCAGGCTCAGCAAGCCATTGAGCTCTGAAGCACAACTTTGCCTTTATTCTGGCTTTTTTGGCACACCACCAGGAGGCTGTCCCTTTCACGCCTGATAAATTCTGCTTCTTATCTCCAAATAGAAAAAAGAAAGAAAGAAAATATAAGCAGAATATTTATACTTCAGAACTGCATTTTAAAACTACATGTTTTATTTTTTTATTGCAGATCTGTAGTTTAGAACAGCCCTCCTGAGTGTCTGAAGGATAAAAGTTGTTTTTTATTTTTTTTTGTTTGGGTTTTTTTTTCCTTCCTCCTGTTTAATGAACAGGCATTTGAACTGGGCAAACGGGGCGACAGCATTGAACATGAGATCATTGCAGCATAGTGTAGCAAACTGGCACCCTGCCTTTTCACCCCTTTGCTCCGGCAGATTTGTGCAATCCCCATTTATAAAACCGGCATAGGGGCGAGGTGAATTTTCTGGTCTCTCCCCACCTCTTGTCCTGTGCAGGCAGTTGCGGCAAGGATTGGTGCAGCTTTTGCGCAGTGCTTTGTGCCTGGAATTCCGAGAAGAGCGAGAGAGAGAGAAGACAGGCATCCTGGTCTTCTTCCGAGAAAGAACAGGAGTCCTAAGAAGAAGAAACAAATCTGAGTTTGTCCTACATACAAGAGTGCAGAAAAAAAAAAAAAGTGACTCTCCTGCTTCCAAAAAAAAAAAAAAAATTTGGCACGTTTCACTACAGAGACATCAGGATGTGTTAGAGCTTCTTAAAACAGTGTAACAAAATGAGCCTAGGAGATTGATTCTTTTAGTAAAAAACAAAAAAAAAAAAGAAGGAATTAATTTTTTGTTTGGTTGGTTGTTTTTTGTTTTTTGTTTTTTTTTTTTCCACTATTGCTCATATAGCAGTATTTGGCACTGGGTGAAAACGTACCTTTCATATCAGGTATAGCTTCTTTTTCTTTTTTTCCTCTTTTTCTTTTTATAAGCCGTTTTAAACATGCTGTTTTGAAACTGAGTCCTTGTGTATTAATTTTAACGTAGTCAGCTGTTCACACTTTTAAAAACTAACTTTTTGGTAGTGTGTTTGATCTAATACTGCTAAAAATAGAAAGTAAACAAAAAATCGAGGGTCTATAGAAATAAGTGGTTAGGCACATTTTGTCTTAGCTAAGCACTGGAGTTATGCAAAAACCTTAATGTTACATTTGTTCAGTCTAAGCTTTGGTTATCTCTAAGAAAGTTGTGGGTATTTAGATCTGGTTGCTAAGGAAAGTAAATTCTTTTTTTATAGTGTGACTCACGCTTTCAGTTTCTAAAGAGGGGAAGAGAAAAAAAAAACAAACAACGTGTTAAACTGTACGAAAGGATGGCTCTTGTAGCCAGTATATTAAAGTTATTATTGAGTTAATTCATGTACGAGTTTCTTACAATTTGTATCTAAATCCATTACAAAGAAATCAGTGTAATAACCACTGGTATAAAAGGCACATTATTGGGAAATTACATGAAGTAAGCCTGTTTTGGAGCTAGTAACAGTGACTATTTTAAGATGCTCGGTAAAGCAGCACTTGTCCAGGAATAGCTGAAAACAGTATTTAAGATATCCATTCAGAATGTTTGTGATAAGTGCATGCAGAGTTAAAGTAAGTTTTGAGCATATGACGCTTTAGTAGAGCCTTTTTCTTAAAGCATTTGTCTGTCTGTTGTAACATATTACTAGGCAATTAGAAGAGTGTGTAACAAAATTCATTCTGACTGACAGATTTTGAAAAGCTCAGCCAAATCAGTGTTTTATGTATTTTGGATATTTTATTTTTATATTTTCCTCGTCTTTTTAATTTATGTTAAAAATACAGATGTCCTCAGCTAGAAATTTCTTTGAAACTTACAGTGTCTTTTTCATCAGAAACTCTGATATTTTTTTCAAAGTGTTGATAGGTGTTTGCTTAATAAGTTTTATGAATATATTATGACTTTACAAAATAGAATTGTTTTAGTGTGGTTTTGACATTTTATACGTTACCAATTAGAGAGTAACTTCTTAGATTATATGCTAATTTTGCTACCTTATATTTTTGTGTTCTGCAATGAATTCTGGGAAATTGCTGGATGGAGACCTTATGTATATGACACATATACCTCCACTCACCCATTTTGTACCAGAATGTGTTCATTAGATTTATGGTGATATTGCCCTCCCCAATAGTTTTGTTAGAATAATTACGTATGTCATTAGCACTTAAGTCTGTTGAGAAGCCAAGCCTTGCATTAGCTTAATCACATCTTTTTCTTTTTTTTTTTTCTGTTAAGTTTTGCAAACATTTCTTGATTTAAACCATTTAGTTTATCCTAGTATTTTTATGAAGTTCCATACCAGATTATCTCATTGTATGCACTATTTGATAAAAATTATTTATTTTTGTTAAGCATGCTCCTTCCCTTCTGGAATTCCTAATAAAAATAAAATATTTGTGGGGTGAAAAAAGACTAGGAAATACTAAATGAAATAGTCCCTCTGCCAAAGTGTGCTTGTTCACAGCATGTCTTCCCATGGCCCTGAGAGGGGCATCGGCAGTGTGTCAGTTTTATATCTTAAAAGCATAATTACTAATTTTGTGTATGATTCATGTTGTTCTGAAAACACTTTACATAAACCAGATATTTCAAAATATTTCTCTCTTTTTTTTTTTTAGTGAAAGAAAAAGAAAGTTAAAATGAGAAATGAAACTGAAGTTAATTATACCAGAATTCAGCGAAGGTAATACAGTGATCTTAAATATTGGTTTTGTTTATAAATAAAGTTAATGGCAAGAATATGAAGCAGGTTATCTTTTAAAGAATTTATATTCTACAGGGAGCCTACAAATATAATTTCACAGATATGTATTAAACTTTTGTTCTGATGGCTTTCTATTGGGAATATTGCAGTTTGTATAGCCTTTATACTGTATGTTTCCATGAGGCTTTAGAATGAACTGAAAGATCAATAGATCATTTGTTCTTTTGTTATGCCTAGTAAATATATAACATGTTTATATTTACTAGTATATTTATATTACTAGTATATTTATAGTACATATATCTATTTGCTCATATATATATAATGCAGTGAGCAATTATTTTTTAAATGTGGAATATCTCTTCTATTCACAAAAAAGAGGAAGAAAATAGGAGAAGCAATTTTATAACACTTATTACAATCATTCAGTAAATTATGCATGCAGTCTGAATACTTATTTCTGATACTAGGATAACTATTCTCGTTTGAGTGCTTGTCTTACATATTCTGTCTCCTCAGTGTCAGCAGAAAAACAATTATAAAAATATCATCCCTTCTGAATGCTGAAGTGTTGTATATAAAGTGAAACAGGTTTAAAACAGACTGTTCAAGGAAATGAATTAGCATGATTTTAAAATGCAAAAGGGTATGTTTGAACATGCAAAATTTAATCCACTAAATTGAAAAAGAAAAGAAAAAAAAGGTCGTTTACTAATGCTCAGCTGTCATTACTGAACTAGAAATACATGTTGTTGTCTGCAAGCATGCCCTAATTCAAAAACTTTGTTATTGGCAGCACTCATTTTCTTGAAATGAATTTTGCCCAACTAACAATGGCAAAATTAGGCCTTCAGTGGAAACCAGTAGAAGGCAGGCATTAAAATTTAATTCAGATATAGTTTTCAGTAACCTGCTAAAATCAGAAGAGACCTTTCTAAAGCACTAGGTCTTAAAATTATATCTGCTTCTTGCGCCTTTATTTTACAAGTGCATTTGTGGCTATATTGTTACAAGTTATTCTGATGTGTCAGATACTATGCTTAAAGACACAGTATTTATCAATGCTTTCATTTAGATGATGTAAGTTATAAAACTGTATCTGTGTCTCACCTTTCTGAATGACTGGTTATTACCTCAAAGGACCTGTTTTCAGTCTGTTGCGTAGGACACTCTACATTCAGTGTGTGGTAGTTTGTATCTTACTGCTTGCTGGTCACAAGAAGAATGTATTTGTTGTAGGAGTTAACCCTGAAATTTTGCAAGATTCTGTTTCTAGGTGCATTCTTATTATTAGGAATAGCACTGGTGGGAGCATTAGTGAATAAAATATACAAATTCTTTGCTTTGATTAATAGACATTGTTTAATCAACAAGTTATTGTCAAGCAGTACTTAGATGCCCTGTAACATGAAGAAATAGCTAAGCAGTCTTTATAATGTTGTACGGAAGCTGCACTCCGGTGTGCCTCACTGCTTTCCTGATTTGGTACGGTGATTTTTATTTTGGGTTGTAGTAGACCATATGAGCTCAGACACAAAGGACAAAACTGTATTCACTTCTATGTCATGTCCACTTATGGATTCCAGTCTTGCATGTTTGTGTGCATGTTATAGTCAGATGCAAGTTGTTGGGAGTTGAGAGTTCATCGGTAAGGCAAAGTGTGCGCAAAAGGACTTTAATTCCTGTTGAAGACAAAACAATATCGTGCCGTCATTCTGTAAAAAAAAAAAAAGGTTTTCTTCCTTTTTCAAACAACAAACTAGTTACAAGTCTTTGGCTTGTTTGGTGTATCCACTGTTTATGCAGTTAATTTTGAAGTAGCCGTCTTTGCATTAGACAGTAATATTTTTACTCTTAAATACTCATTCTTACATTGCTTTGCGTGTTTGTTTGTTTAAAGTCTTCTGTGTCTCACTGTAAAAGGAAAATGCTAATCAACGATGCCAATTGGCATAAACCCGTAGATCCGATCTTGTGTTGAAAAGTACTGCACAAGCTCGCTTCTATGGGTCTGTGTCAGTATGGTGATCTGGCAAAAGTTTATGTAGCTCACATACAGTGCTATTTGACAACAAGCCCAAGTGAATGTACAAAACTATATATTGTTTCTAAAATGCCTCTCTTATCCATTGCCTTATCTTCAAACTTGATTAAGTCATTTGTTCTTTTATCGGTTGCTTTAAGCACCTCTGGCTTAATATTTTATTAAAATTTACAAAGAGATGTGAGGGAATTGTAGGGTTTCCAGTGAGGGAGAGTAGGCTATACCATTAGCTGGCTTTATTAAAGATACCATTACATGTTTTACATTCAAAAAGTATAGAAAAAACAAGAAGATTTGGGTTTTTATTGTAAAGTAAGACCAAATGGTCATTCCTTTCCGAAACGTAGTTGAATTTGCATCATTCCTGTCAAATACTAATGTATATATATACCCATAAAACACACATGTATGTATCTTTACACATATGTAAACAGGATAGAACAGAAATTCTACCTCTGCAGTAGAAAAATCTAAGAATATGCCTTATTGTCGGAAAAGTGAGGAATAACTGCAGTTGAAAGCCTACCCCCATAGGCCTGTGGCTGATGTCACATTTCAAAGAAAGGCTGAAGAAATGAAGAAGACTTTATGGTCACCGTTGGAAGCTGTGTGCATCCGGGTTGAGGTAGTAGGTTGTATGGTTTAGAGTTACACCCTGGGAGTTAACTGTACAACCTTCTAGCTTTCCTTGGAGCACACTTGAGCCATCGAGGAATTCATCACCACTTTAATCTGATCAGGGAAAGTATGCAAAAAGGTGTTGTGTCATGGCTGCACATAATAATCACTCTGAGGCTTTACTGATGTTGCAATAGTCCTGATGACTTGATTTTTTCATTTACATCCTGTTATGAACAATGCTAACATGTTGTCTTAATGGACCGTGACTATGTACTACAGACAGTTAAGGAAAGACTGATGATGATTTTAATTCCATTAACAGGAAAGCTTTAAAAGTTTGTTTTGATTTCTAAACTCAGGAAAATATCAAGTATTTAACCTTTTATTCCTTCTTCATAGAAATCGCTTATCCTATACGGTTGATTTTTGTTGCTGTTTTTATGTAAGTGCACATTCTTTTTAAAGGGAAAGGAATGAATTTTTTTGTCCTTATAATACTTTCCAAAATATATTTCATGCTGCTGCTTGGATAGCAGTGGGCAGTGTCACAAGTTGATCCTAATCTTCTTTGGATTATGATATTCTTTCTTTGTGCCTTCACAACTCAGTGTTATGAACACAGATCCAAATGACCTGCAGCCCCGCCCGTGTTTCCACCTTGTCAAAATTCATGTGCTGCTCAGCCTAATCCTGCTATGGGGTCTTGGCATCCATGTCCTTACACAGTGTGTCAGCCTGACCCTGACCCAAAAAGCCTTTGTCTTTTTTGTCCCTGTCTGAAGTTCTGACACATCTTCCTAACTCAGCAGGAGTTGGAAAAGTCACATTCCCTATGTGAGTGGTTTCCAAAGCACTGGGCACCACTGCCAGTGGCAGGTCCCAGCACCATGGCCTCCTGAGCCCCCGCATCGCCTGTACATCTGGCACACCTTTTTCAAAAAAGCAATACCAGAATGCACTAAGGTAAAAATATCTGTATTGAATCCCAATATGAATAGAGAGATGAAGGCATGCTTGTGGAGCTTTATGTCCCAAGTTGTGCATTCCCATTTCATGCTGGTTTTCAGTCTTATATTGGAAAAAGAAAAAAATCCCTTGAGATGTGTACATCCCATAAGCAGAGAAAAAATAGAGTGTTTTCACAGTTTAGCCATTCCCAGAAACACCTATGAAATGAGAGGGAAAGGACTGTGCCTGTTTTTCCACCATGATTTTTAAGTGAGGCCTGCTTCTGAAAATGACCTTAAAGATGAAGTTTTGTCAGTGTGATGGAAGGCATTAATGCCAAAGTAGGAGCATCTGGACCAGACAGTGATGCTAATTCCAAAATAGTTGAGAAAAACTGATACTGTCTGTTTCTGTGTACTTTTCCGTAAAAAATGGAAAGAACTGCATCATTTGTAATTACTAATAGTAATAGTGATAATTCTGCTGGAAAATTACTTAAGGTTTGTTGATATAAAGCAAAAGAGCTGAGCCATGCCCCTGTGGTGAGACATCACTGATGTGACCGTGGGCACGCCAGGCTTCTGTGGGCTAAGGAGAGGGTGAAACATGGCTGTCCGGCTTGGGGGGTGAGGGTTGTGGTCCTAGCACCCCCAAGTTAAGAGTAAATAGGTTCCCCAGGGCATTTTGAATGCCTGCATTTCTTGCTTTATTGCAGGTGACCATAACAAAATATTTGACATTTCCAATGTTTAATCGTTTTACGTTTTGCATCGGCAAGGAAAGTTACAGATATTTATTTTAAGTGGATTTGATGCTTGCTTGTGTTTCGGTTATTGTTTTCCTTTCAGTTCTACCTATTCAAAAAATCACTTGCTTTCAGATCCCTATGTTTGACTCTTTTTATCTCAGCTTAAGGTATGCCTAACCACTTTCCTAGATAAGAAATAAAAAGAGGAGATGAAAATGGATTTAGTCTCTTTTTAATAGCATTTATTTTCAGTGATTAATGTTTGTAATAGGAAATTGGTAAAGAGGATCTGCATGACAGTTAGGTAGATGTACAATGGATTTTAAGCCTGTCTTAAAGTGTGTGGGAAAGAGGAGAGAGGAGGTTGAGTGAATCAGAGCTACTCTAAGCTAATGGAAAACACTTAAGGGAGCAGTGGCTAAATGGAGGGGTAGAGAGGAGACCTCCATCAACCGATTAAGCTTAACAGGGACCACTCACAATCTGAATAAAAACTATAATATCCTCTGTGGATTCAAAAGGACCCTGGTCACCAGTATGTTTAATTCCTTTTCTATTCTAAAATTTTTCTTTTGTAGTTTAAGTCCACTGGAAAGAAACATTGTAATTGCTGTTTTC